TTGCCCTGCTTACAGAAACTGCCTCTCCAGTTAACCATTATTACCATTGTAACAACTAAGGCGAAGTGCCCATTGACGTGAGTGACGTTGACTTGGCCACGCCCACACAGTCACATGACCACCAAGCCATGCCTACCCAGCTGGTCATTAGGGCAGAGAACCATTTGTTAAATTATTTGAATCCCAGCACTGCATAAACTGAATAATCCTACAAGAATTGGTATTTGGAAGCAGGAGGACCAAAGTCTCTCTTGTATAGTAATTACATGAATATAAAGATATTTAGAAGACATCAGATCCATTATAAGGAACATTACACCATGATTTTTAAGAGCCAATGGACACATAGATGAAAATAAAACACATTTCTATGACAAACAATGCCTGAAATTCACACCCATCTAAAACTGGCCACAATTCAACAAAAAGTCTTAAGACTAACAAAAATGCCGGGTTCATGCATGACTCATTCACTGGTGAATAATAATAGTTAATCTAAAAGCATTTTTTTAAAAAATAAACAATTCGCAACCTATTCAGGCTATCTAACCTCATAAAAGAAGGTTTAGTCGATCAGTTTTCAGTCAAGCAATTTAATGCATTATAAATAAAATCCATGTGAAAATCACTGACACATTATTTGGTAAAGAACAGTACAGCCACATGACGAGACATTTGCAATACATTTGTTAGTCAGATTGGGAAGCTGCCATAACATTTGCATAATTGGCTTACACACTTTCAAAATCACAGGGAAATGGTTGGATCGTTGACCTCATCACAAAGTATTGAGTATCAAACGGAACCATTTCTGCACTTTTATTTAAAGATCAGAATCTGACAACCATGTATGAGCCAATGTTGAGTAGTAATTAGACAAAGACTGAAGAAGTTTAACTTAAAATTCAGTTCATGAGATTTTTGGACATTTGACACTATCTCAGTTCTGTGTTCATAAAGAAAAATCTATATCTTACATTTAAACTCTGTGTGGTGTATGAACATGTGTGTGTGTGTGTGTGTGTGTGTGTGTCTGTGTACATTGCAAATTTGATAGGACAGAAGAGATATGTCACAATTTCCTTATTGATTGATTTGAACAGACAATTTCTTTTGCACCATTATTCAAGAACCTAGCCCAGTGCACATTCCAAATAGGTAAAGAGATGCATAACACTGGGCAAACCATAAAAAATTTAATTTTCCAATAAGCCAGTGGTTCCCAAACTTGGCAACTTTAAGACTTGTGGACTTCAACTCTGCTGGCTGGAGAATTCTGG